GATGTTAAGATCTTAAGGTGGATGTTAAGATCTTAAGGTGGATGTTAAGATCTTAAGGTGGATGTTAAGATCTTAAGGTGGATGTTAAGATCTTATGGTGGATGTCAAGATCTTAAGATGGCTTTAAGATCTTAAGATGGGTGTTAAGATCTTAGGATGGGTGTTAAGATCTTAAGTTGGATGTTAAGATCTTATGGTGGATGTTAAGATCTTATGGTGGATGTTAAGATCTTAAGATGGATGTTAAGATCTTAAGATGGGTGTTAAGATCTTAGGATGGGTGTTAAGATCTTAAGATGGATGTTAAGATCCTAAGGTGGATTTTAAGATCTTAAGGTGGATGTTAGGAGGTTAAAATCACTAAATGCTTTACAAAACACATAAGAAAAACACAGCAAAATATAAATTGCAATGAAAAGCTTCTCTGCATAAATATGTGCAAGCTGTGGAGTAGAAATGGTAAATGGCCAGTTCTTAGCAACCCAAAGAAAGTGTGTCTATCACTTATTCATGGTGGCAATCTACATGTCGCCACCCCTCTGATAACCAGTAGCAGGCAAGAAGGATCTAGCCCAAAGACACAATACCTGAAAGATGGACAGAACGGGGACTTGAACCAGCAACCAGCTGGACAAACCCCTACTTCCTGAGCCACCGTCATCTAATTAGCAGATCTTTTGAAAGCTGTTTTTTGCATTAATTAAAACAAATCCTCTGGGTCCTGAAGCAACAAAACAGCAGTTGTCATTTTATGTTCTATGGTGCTGACATCACCATGTTTGGCAATCAGTATGATGCTTATTCCTGAAATGCAGAGTCAGTTTTCCAGTGATTTAGCAGGAACCATATGTTGTTGAATGTTTTCATTCTCATCTCTGTCCAGAGCATATATTCCCAAAGGTCATTGGGATCATCATTATGTCTTAATGGCAATCTGAGACTCACCGATGGATGTCATTTTAACTTAATCTCTGGGACAGATCAGCCTAGAGAACATTATTTGTCGCTCTTGGGTCTTTAGCCACCTCCTGGATGAGTTGATGGTGTGATCCTGTAGTAAATTTTTGGAACGAAACTGCTTCTGCAAGGCTTCAACACTATTCCATGATTCCTCCATTAGGGGAGTGGCGGCCTAGTGGTTAGGGCATAGAGCTTGGAATCCTGCGGTTGATAATGATCTCTTGAAGTGGTTTGATTCTACAATAATATATACCGGTACATAAATTCAACAATTTGGGAGAAATAAATGTGGTGATATTCAAGACTACTGACAAAATAAGGCATCAAGATGAACAATAGTTTGTATTTTAAATAATCACAATCATCAGTTAAACGTTTCAAACGTGATTAAGCTTTCTTGTGAATGAGGACTGGGTCTAAATTTACCACAAAAAAAGATAAGACCTAAGCTGAAACATGCCAGTGAAGAAGTGCGTGTCTTTCAACAGTGAAGCAGGATGTAAAGCTATGAAGCGCAGGCTGCAAACCAAAGATAAGATTAACACGAACAAAGGATCAAGTTATTGCTTGCACAAGGGTAGGGGCCAGAAAGGCCTCTCAAAAAAAAAAAAAAAACTACATAGCTGCTGTTCACAAACCAAAGCAAACCATTGTCAACACAGCCTTGTTATCACTTCTAAAGACAAAATTTGGTAAATGCCTGGAGTGGTTTAAATTTATTCGCCTCTGGAGGGGCGAATACATTTTAAAATAAAGAGAAAAAGCACATACACTGTGTGGAATCCCCATTGAAAAATTTGGAAGGAAGTTAATTGTGCAACTGTTCCCACATATAGAGCGGTTGTGAACAATCTTGGTTGGCTATCTAATCTACATACCAACAAACTGTTTCCCGGAGAGATCAAAGACCGTGAACATCACAAGCAATTCATTTCTGTATTGCGAAAAAAAAAAAAGAAAAAAGAATTAAATAAAAATCCCCTGAAAATTAGCATTACTTTTCTGCATCGCCTCAAAATGAAATGGAGTTTACATGAAACTGCGGCCACTTTTAAACAATAATTATATTATAACAATTTCTTTACTTTTCCTCCCAAAGTTTTCAAGCGAATGTTAAACACCACCAGCAGAGGTGGAGATTAACATCCTCACAGCATGGGTTATTTTCCTTTAAATAACAAAAAATACAGTATATAGAGGACACTCCTTTTTTATGTCCACATTATTAATTACTAAAAATTTGGAGCTGCTGCTTCAAAAAATTTTAAAGGGTCAATTGACTCCAACAACCACAGATATAATACCAAATAAGTGAATTTAGTTAATGGCGTAACCACATCTCTGATCATTTCAATGCACTCAACAAGGTGATGAAGTCATTTCAACCAGTGGCAGCTTTTAATGACAAAATGTAGCGTCAGTTTGTTCGTGGCTCTTAGTACCGCCTTATACAAAAGATTTTCTCTCACACCTCCACGTCCAGATTCTCGGTACTCTGTCTCCAGATCCGCAACATCATGCAGCAATTTATCTCTTAGGAATCTAGAGGTGAAACTTAATTTAATATTTATCATAATATAACTCTAATTAGTGATGGTGGGTGGATTTTCAAAATAAATTCCAATCTATGGTTACAGAATTTGTTACTAACTAATAGTCCTGTTCTGACGTAGTTTGTATTTAGCAAATATTTCTTAAATTTTATACTGGGTTTTATAAAAAAACATTATTTAAAGAAGACAAAGGTTTGCACAGATATTTGTTGGCGACTTTTATTTTGTTTCTGTTGATATAAGTATATCGTATAACCAAAATGAATAAATATGTTGTGATATAAATTTTGGCCAGGGAAATCTAGGTGTCTTTTGTATTTATTAAAAGTAATTAACCTACCAGGGGGGCACTTCTTGCAGCATAAAGCAACCTCTTCATTCCAGTATTCTGTTTCTGAGTTGCGACAATTTCCAGCTTCTTGCTTATAGGGCATCGGGTGAACCTGTGTGGTAAAAAAGAGAAATATGTACGGCTTCTTTATCAATGGCGAAACAGACCCCCCTATATATATAAGAACTTTCACTCTGAGACGGGCTTATCACGCCTTACGAGAATTCATCTGAACCTTCTCACATTTTTTCCTGCTACAACCCTTCACTGTAAAAAATTGAAATCCAAATATTTAATTTTTTTTCTTAAAATAAGTGAATTTTTCTTGAATTGAGGAGGTAACTGAAACTCTTTGCCATTTGAACAATACAATTTACATTTAAAATAAGAAAAAACAACTGCGTTTGCGTTTATTTCAAGCGCATATCATGTAATAATCTTATTTTAAGAGTAAAAATAAAACTTCCATTGGCAAATCATCTTATTTACCAACTCAAATAAAGATTAGATACACTTTATTTAATACATTTTCAATTAGTTTTAGACCAATTTGCAGTGTTTCAGTGTATTTTCTTCAATTTATTATTGTCAAATACAACATAGTGCAACCCAGATGTTAGAATTTTTAGAGTAAATAATTTTTTTAACTACTTTTTGGTTGAAATAATGGCTGCATTTCTCGAAAAATAGCTCAAGTTCAGTCAAATGGAGATTATTGTCAGCACTGATTACCACAGACTGTCAATTAGGTGAAGCTCCGGAGATGAACTGGTCCGTTCTTACTTATGAATATGCATAATTTAAAACATACTATAGTATATCTGGTTGTTGAACAGCCCTAAGTCTTTTGCAGTTTGACTTGTTCTTCTAGGTTTGCTGCGGCTTTTTCTCAGTCCTTCTTTACATCAACTACGACCTGATAAGAAAAGGATCGCTACAGCATGATAAGACCACAACACTAGCGTTTATCTGTAGCTCTGGCTGTACAATGAGGGCCTTCGACCAGCTTCAAGCTGAATCCTCAGACAGTTTTGGATACATTTACATCTGTGATTCATAACGTATTTGGTTCAGTCAGTTTTTGCAATGAACTCTAAACAGCTTCCTTGTCCCATTTTATAAAAACATCCTAAAAGCATACTGCTGTCACTACCATTTCTGATTATGGAATTTTTGGGGGATTAATGTACAATCTTCACCATCCATTATGCAGGTAAAAATAATTTTGCTCTTATTTCTCTACAAAACATTTTGGTAAATTGGAATCAAGACCTCTAATGTATTTTTCAGGTTACACATCTAATTATTTAATTGCTGACAGATTCTGCAAAATAATAAAGGAAATTGATTGCATTGCTATTTAAAGGTTAGGAGGAAAGGGGGCTGTATTCGCCCACACATTTAAAGCATTTTTTTCTCTCAAAGATCTTAAATCTATTTATAATTGCTCTCCCACATCATAAGGGTGCACTGTGCGGTGTATCAAAGAAAAGTTCATAGAAACAGACTAAAAGTGTGTATATTATTTTCTTAGAACACCATAAACCTCACCCAACTCCTTGAAGAAAACAGCTCATTTAAAAAGCAGATAACCTTAGTAATGTGCTAATTAGGGGAAAAGAGAAAGTGACCAATAAGTGGTTATGTTATTTTGAATATGTAACCCTTGTGCTGCACCAAAGCACTTACACATACACCCACTCTTTTCTGCTCTAGTAAAGCCTGACCTGCAAGTTCAGAAGAAAAAAGATCCCATTGTTTCAATATCTGAGGTGCGTTTACTTCTACATTCCTGTCTGTTGGGGCTTTCTGGGCATTTCGCACATGCAGGACCTAAAACTTTCGCTGGCAAGATGGAAGGAAGTGTGACACTGTAACCATTCACACACCTGACTTAAAGCTGTATCACCATAGCACCTACAGTATGACAAGCAAAAGACAGAATCATGCTGACAGCAGCAGCAACAGTTTCTGGTATTACAGGAAACAAGAGGCGGCAGTCTGGAAGCCCTGGGTTTTCTTTGGTATGTACAGGGACGTGTGCTCTTTAACCACAGACTGACAAGAAATACCATCTGCAACCGAATATTTTTAAACACTGACAGTTTAACTTGGCTTAATGCCAGGAAAAACTAACGAAAACAAAGAAACAGTTCCTTGTAAATATCTGAGACATCATTCCATGTTCCTGAAACTAAATACTTATAGGTTTTACTGTCAGCTTTTATTTCCACAAAGATTTAGGCTTATATTGAAAATAAAATCCATTTGATTATATAAAAACATATGAAACATGCAATGCAACTTCTACTTTAACACAGAAATGTACTTTAAAGGACATCTACTCGGATCTTTGCTGAATAACTTGCAAGAGCACACCCTGTGTTTGTTCCCTTATAAACAGACCAAAAACAGGCTTGATGGGACCTACCTTATTGGTATTGAGTGCCAGAAGGACCACCAGCAGCACCAGTTTGTTCTTCATCGCTTCTAGAGGGTGAATTACAGAGCACTCAGCAGGCGGCACGGCATGCGTACTGCTCATGGAGGCGGGTCATCTGAGCTCAAACCTGAGCAATTTCCTTGCACTATGAAGAATGTGGAGGGAGGAAACTAGCAGGCAGACTTACCAACACTCACTAAGGCGAATCAGTAGAATGAGGTTAGTGAGAGTACAGTGACAACAGAAGCTGCTGTTTTGCCTTTTGTGTTTGCTCTGGATGTGAGGTGTTGCAACCCTGAGACCAAACATCACTGTTAGACATCTGCAGCTGATTACAGGAAAACTGCAGCATCTGAGGCTTTTCTTGTAACACCTTATGGACCTTTAGTTAAAACAGACCTCTTAATGCTTCACCTTCATTGGCAGCGTTAAAGTCTAAAGTCTATCTGTATTAAAAGAAATCTTTACAAATCTTATTGAAATTACCGGTAGGAAAAAAATATGCTTTTATAAGAACAGGTGGAATAAGCTGCAATTATCAATAAAATAAGTTGGAATTTGTAGTTCTAACTTGACAAAATGTGTAAACATTTAGGATGTAAGCATACATCTGCAAAGCATCGTGTAAAAGGCTGCATAATCTTTAACAGTATGAGCTTGGCCATGTGAGCTTCAAAAGTTGATATAACTATATATATATATAAATTAGGGCTGAAACAACTAATTGGTTTAATTGGGATTCATCGCTTATTTAAATTATCTTCAACTAATTTAGTAATCGATTAATCATTAAATGGATACTGTAAGATATGCCCTTAGCTGTCAGAGCAAAATAATAATATATAAACATTTTGGATGTAAGGTATATAAAACATATAATGTCTGTGTTAATATGCTCTATCCAGAACTCCGTAGGTGGAAACATTTTACTTTTATCTAGTGTAATTTCATAAAAAATCTTCTTTAAAGAACCTTTGGCTATCTGATTATTAATCAATGAATGGAAAATAAAAAATGTCGGATTAATCGATTTGCTAAATAATCATTAGTTGCAGCCCTAATATATATGCATACATACACATGTGTGTGTGTGTGTGTGATGTATTAGATGTGGTTTCACTCGTGAAAAAAACCAAGGAAGGAATTGAAATTGGTTTGGCTTCCAGTGAGTAAATGCATCACTAAGCAGTTTATGGGATATGTGCTTTGCAGTCTCTGGTCTGGCTTGGTGGCTGAAGGCTATGGGCATTCTGGCAGTAGGAGGTGCTGTCCCTTTAGACCAAGGGTCACCACAATGGGGCCAGCGGGGGCCCTCAAGGACCACATGGGGGGCCCTGTGCATCATCTTCTGAAAACAGAACAACTCACCAGTGGACTTAGTCTGAAATTTTATTTCATGCTACTGCTCTTATTTTTTATTTTTTTTTTTTATCATTTATAGAGCATTTAAGCATTTATAGGTATTTCAAAATTGGCATATATGAAATGAAATTAGAAATGAAAGAAACAATAGAAATATGTTTATTATCTATGAAGTTTAGGTGAACACTGACTCCTTCAGTTTATAGGTCAGTATTAGTAGCCCGTCCTATGCCTCAGTACCCATGAAGCAGTTCAGGCTTGGTTGGTGACCGCTGCTTTAGACTATGCATCTGGATGCTGTCCTAGGTCGTTGGTGGTGATTAGCTATGGTGGGCCATAGTCCTTCTGGAGCTTTAAAGGGATAAATCACCAGGTAAAATGGTAATGTTCCTTTCCTACTGTAGTCCCTCTGAGTTTAAGCTGTTGTTTTTGGCTGATGTCTGCTGTTTTGCTGCTGGCCTCTCAGGTTGACCAACAGATATGAAGATGGCGGTGTCAACGTGGCCACTCTGTTTAATTTCAGGTAACAAAAAAAACCAAAACCCTTCCTATAGATATTAAGACCCAAACAAAGATAAAACAAAACCTGATTATTTAAGGTCAAACAAAGAAAAATTAAGCTAACAGGTTGTCCGTTACTTAGTCCTGGTTCCAGTCTAGATTGAATTAATAGATTTAATTCAATTCAGTTTATTTCTATAGCGCCAATTCACTACATGTCATCTTAAGTCACTTTACAGTTCAGCAGATCATACGGTCAAATTGATTAAAAGGAAAACCAGTTTGCATCGACTCATTGACTGGAAGGCAATCCCTCACACTAATTTAGGATTCTATCTTTACCTAAGGGCTGAAATATTTAATCGAATTAAACTTAATTTATCGATTATTGAAATAACTAATATGGTAATTGACTAATCATTAACTGGAGTATAGAGACTCTAAAATACATCCTTTACCGGACAACAGCAAGCCAAACCAAGCAGAAAAAATTGGAAAAAAATATTAATATTTTGCATTTAAGATAAAAAACATTTTCATCTTTGAATATGCTCTATCCAGAACTCCTCAAATGGAAATGTTTTAGTTTCAGCTGGTTTAATTCGATAAAAAAAAATAAAAAATAAATAAATCTTTAAGGATCTTTTTACTATTGATTAATTGAAAAAGTTATCGACATATTAGCAAAAATAATCATTAGTTGCAGCCCTACTTTAGATATCCTTTTTGCAAACCTAAACTCCCGTCACATGCAGGCAACCAGCTTCTCTATATAGTATGCCTGAAATGCTGACAGGATATGTGAAAAAAAAGCTGCAAAAGTAAAGAGTCCAGAAGAATCAAATCATATTCAAGATGTTTAAGAATTGTAACTAAAAACATTTGGTTTCATTAAAATAGATTACACTCTGGCTGTAATATGGGGCTTGTAAAAAGATTTAAGGTAATTAGAATCATTTCTACAAGGCATTTCCATTTAAAATACCTGCAGCCACAAAGCCGTACTTGCACATGTTGTGCCCATCAGCTTCTAGCCCCTGTGACTAGCAGCTTGTTCCTGTGTGATGCTGACATTTCAGAATAAACTTTCCCCTCCCACATGTTCAGATGTTCTCTGGCTCTGAAGTAAAACAGAAGCTGCCTTTGTCGTCCATGCAGTTATTTTGTTTACCTTGAGTCATATTTACCTTCGTTGCGGCTAAATATGTGAACCAAAGGAGCAAGAGTTGTTAAATATGATTCTAGGCATCTTTGCACTGATTTAGTTTACAGTATATGACTCATTTTCTATAGTAGGATGGTTTTTAAATGGCACGCCTAATCCTCATGTTAGTCGGTTTTATTTTTAACCATAAATGGTCTTTTTGAGCCGCAGAGTAATGTGGTGAAAACCTTAGAAGCCTAACTTTACTTGTTTGGTGTTTGAACTAACATATTGAGGGATGATGATTGATTGATCACAAACCGCTTTCAGACCCTGCTTATGTCCACGGGAGGAGAGGATTTCCTGAAGAAGGGAAATATCTTTCCATCAGCAGAAGTGCAGCGATGCTCTGAACTGTTACTGTCGATTCTAGTGCATTTTGTTTGTGTGTTTCTGAAAATGTTCCCCTTTTGTTTCTGAGAAGTTCTGCCCCCAGTAATGGGATGATTACGGCTCATCTGCAAGGATTTATTGAGTGAAACTCCGTCACTTCAAATCAGAATCGATGTGCTCAAAGAAAAAGCTGTGAATCAATCCAACATCACAAACATGTTCAAAAACGTTGGCCTTTTAGACACAAACCTACACCATCATAGGGGGGATCTCAAAGGCACAGAAGTGTTAGTTAGTATAGGTGGTTGTGGTTTCCTGTGGAGGGCAGCTCCTGTTTTGTACTGTACAACATCTGAACTATAAGACTCCCCCCCACAGTAAGGAAGTTAAAAGAAGTTTATAAAGACTGAGGAGCAAACAACACATTTGGAGGAGATAACCCCCCCAAATAAGGCTGGAAGTGATTCAGTGCGACTTCCTCAGTTTGCAAACAACAGGCTTCCTTAAGTTATTCTTAAACAGTCTTGTGTTAAATGTTGTGCATCTCCACTGTTGTGCAACCTTCCAACTATTGCTTTACTTCCACAAAAGCCATGGTCACATGTGAGGTTTAAATCTCTTCCAGCTTTAATTCACATGGACAAAAAAAGGAACTGTAAAGAAACATAATTTTTGTTTAGCTAATAAGCCAATTACAGCAACACTTGGATTTAATGTTCAGATTCCCGTTTTAATTTATTGTATTGGAAAAACATCAGACAGATAAAGACAGTTTTGGATGATAAGGATGAAAACTCAAGTTATAGTCTATTAGAAATTCATAGATGATCTAATAGCCCAGTGAGAAAGAAAGGTCTCTTGGTTTTCTTTTTGGAGAGAAGTGCTGAAAGTTGAATCGGGCCAAGCGTCGCACATCAGGGATCTGCTCAGGCTCCTGGTCTCTTCGGGTTGAAGACAAGTCCTGGAATGCATTTTAAAACAATCCAAGTCTCAATCGTTTGCTCCTCTGTTCAATGAAGATGTGTAGGAAGACTTTTCAATAAATTCATTAATTTGCACAAACATAATCTTAAGTTAAAAACAAAAAAACAATTGTTAGATTTGGCAGAAAAAACATACCAAGGAATTTGGCAGTGGCTAAAAGAAGTGGGACTGTAAGTAATTTCCCTCTGGGATTATTAAAGTATTACTGATTCTGACTGTATGTAAAACCTCAGTGGAACAGGAAGCCATCAATTTTTAATTTAGAAGTTCCAAGAAACCTATTAACAAAATAATAATAATAATAATCGAAACAGAACCTTCAGATAGATTCATTGTAAAATGGTGGTATGGGTTCCTGATGATTATGTTATTGGGGATAAATAAATATTTATCTTACCCCTAAATTTATTGACTCAAATGAAAGTATTTTTTCTTATCTTTTCCAAGGCTGGTGAAAAATGGAGCTGGTCCTGTACATTTAGAGGCTATGCTGCAGGTGAGATAGATGTTACTACTGGTGTGATAGAGGTTTGTTTTAGCATTTCCTAAATTAATGCTCTGATATGCTTGTGTATTGTGAACTCTACAAAGATTCCTGAGTGGTACCTGCAGTTCTTGGCTCAGTGAGCCATCCAAGTTCCTCCTAATATTGCTCTGCAGGTCTAGGCTTCTGGGTGGAGGCAGGATGTTCTGGCCTGCATTCGACCATCCGGAGAGACAGTGCTGCACAAGGACAAGGAGATTAAGGACAGCAAAATCCTG